AAAAAAAAAAAAAAAGAAAAGCACTACAAAATGCAATCCCACGCCTGGGAATATATCCTAGAGAAATAAGAGCCATCACATGAATAGACATACAGACATATGCACGCCCATATTCATAGCAGCATTGTTCACAGTTGCAAAAAGATGGAAACAACCTAGATGCCCATCAACAGATGAATGGTTAAACAAACTATGGTACATACACATAACAGAGTACTATGCAAAGATAAAGAACAATGATGAATCTGTGAAGCATCTCATAACATGGATGAAGCTGGAGGACATTATGCTGAGTGAAATAAGTCAATCACAAAAGGACAAATATTGTATGAGGCCTCTTCTGTAAAAATTCATGAAAATGTTTACACACAAAAAGTAATCTTTGTTGGTTACGAGGGATGGGAGGGGTGGGGGGGAACTAAATTAAATAGATAATACGTAAGTGGCAACTTTGGTGAAGGGTAAGACACTACACAATACTGGGGAAGCCAGCAAAACTTGTACAAGGAAAGGTCATGGAAGCTCCACAGACACTTCCAAACTCCCTAAGGGACTGAATTGCTGGGCCAAGGGCTGTGGGGACCATGGTCTCGGGGAACATCTAGCTGAAATGGTATAACACAGTTTATAAAGACAATGTTCTACATTCTACCTTGGTGAGTAGCGTCCGGGGTCTTAAAGGCTTGTGAGCAGCCATCTAAGATACTCCACTGGTCTCAACCCTTCGGGAGCAAGGGAGAATGAAGAGAACAAGATACAAGGAAAAGATTAGTCCAAAGGACTAATGGACCACAGCTACCAAGGCCTCCACCAGACTGAGTCCAGTACAGCTGAATGGTGCCCGGCTACCACCACTGACTGCTCTGACCTGGATCACAATAGACGGTCCTGGACAGAGCCGGAAAATGATGTAGAACAAAATACTAACTCACAAAAAAAGATCAGATTTACTGGCCTGACAGACTGGAGAAACACCAAGATTATGGCCCCCGGACACCCTTTTAGCTCAGTGGTGAAGTCACTCCTGAAGTTCACCGTTCAGGCGGGGATTGGACAGACTCATAAAATAAAACGGGACTAATGAGGCACAGCAATCCAGGGACAAGGACTAGAAGGCAGGAGGGACAGGAAAGCTGGTGATAGGGAACCCAAGACTGAGAAGAGACAGTGTTGACATGTTGTGGGGTTGTTAACCATTATCACAGGGCAGTATGTGTACTAACTGTTTAATGAGAAACTATTTGTTCTGCAAACCTTCATCTAAGGTACAAAAAAAAAAAAATTATGTGAGATCAAATTGACAACAGCAACTCAAAAGGTTTGATGGGAAGCCTAGGGAGCAGTGAGCTGAAGATAATGGTGATGAAATCATTTGGAAAAGGATAGTGAGAATAGCAGCACAACTGGAAGAATGTGATCGATGTCACTGAATTGTACATGTAGAAACTTTTGAAACGGTGTAACTTTGGCTATGTATATTTTCACCAAAAAAAAACGTCCCTCAAGGTCAAGAAGGGAGAGTGTTGACATGTCGTGGGGTTGTTAACAATACGTGTACTGACTGTTTAATGAGAAACTATTTGTTCTGTAAATCTTCATCTAAAGTACAATAAAAAAATTAAAATAAAATGAAATAACTAGGAAGAGGATGAACATCATGGGGGAATGCATGACAACGTTAACCAAATACAGAAAGGATCCCTGCTACATTTGCAGAGAATACAGCTCAGTTTGCAAGAACTAAACAGCAACAGAATTTGACAGGCGGTGTCACTGCCTTATGGGTATATTTTTCCTTTACTGAAAAACAACACAATATCAAGTTTCTATCGTGATTGTACATTTTTAAAAAGAAAATGAAAAACAACAAAAAAGAACAGAATAACTCAAAAGCACGTCTTGGAAAATAATTGTTTCTGAGGGAAACATGCGGCCGGCCTCGTCGTGAGGTCAGTTTGCCCTCCTGGGGAAGGCCATGCTTGAACCCAGGGACACTGAGGAAGGACGCGTCAGGAAGCAGGTGCCCAGCCAAAAACATCCATGGTCTAACCTCTATCACTGATTTTATCAACAAGGCCCAAATTTGTCCACTTTGAGCTCTTTTATATTATACGTATATTTCTATGTTTGAGGACAAATTTTCCCAGTAAGTTTTTATATTTGAAAATTTCAAAAGCACAACTATCTTCTTATAATAAAGCAGTTTTCAATTAGTGTGAGAGGAATTTCTCCACTTACTATGCTATTTTCATCAGGAAAGAATCGTTTCCATTAGTTTTTTGGTTTCTTTTTTTTTTTTTTTTTCTTCCCCTCAATATGAAATTTGACTTTGACCCTAACTGCTCTATGTCGCAATTAGGGAATAAAAAGTGATAGCTGTTATGGGATTCTTCTCCAAAGCAGCCTAGATCTTTCTATTTTATGAATTACATTGTTTTAAAATGAGTGGTTTTCTCTTCTACTACCGAACTAAAGGTGCACTCTAAGATTATTACCCTTTTATTCTGCAGCAATCTAGCATATAATACTAGGTTGAGCATTTCAGCTAAATCAACTGGGCCAAAAATGCTACTTCTCTTATCCCGCTAGTTTAAAAGCAATCATGTATCATAGGCACAAATTCTGGAATAAAGTGGTACAGATTATACAAAACAGCAGAGTACCAAAACTTGTTTGGTTGAATATGGGTGTATCTGATATTCTGGCAACACACAGATTTCTAAGGTATTAAGTCATGGTCTGAAGACTTCACTCAGAGAAGACAACTCGTCCAGCTTCCCATACTTACTCCCTTATTCATCATTACCGCAAAATAAAATTGCTTATTTCAAATGCTTAAAATAGGCTGCCTTCTACAACACTGATTCAAAAACAACAAGGGAGGAGAGCTGGATGCCTGCGCCACGCCTTCCCTGGGGTGAAGAAGGTGCTCGTGGAGTCTGGCCCTCACAGGCTACGTGGGAATTTGGTAAACAACAGCAGTAAACAAGACCATGCAGCTCTGGGCTCCCCGCTTTCCTGCAGTTTTAAAAAAAACACCTAGAAAACCCAATGTTCTGGAACAACTGACTTTACAGTGAAGAAAAACTGTAAGATAACAGCAAAAGGAACTATTTTAAGTGCTTTATGTATAATAATTCTGAAAACAGTCCTATTATTATACCTGTATCATATAGATGAAGAAAAGTAAGGTATAAAAAAATAAAATGGTTGACTATCTTACTCCAGGTCCTACAGTTTGAAAAGTTCACTTTTTTAAAAAAACTCTATTTTTAGTGTTGGTCTTTCCCTAACATGAGGTACAGTACATTTAAGCCAAAAGCTGACATTGTACGTATATTACGTGGGTGTGTGTGTATAAGGTCTGATGATACAGCTACCTGAATGCATTAGCCATCCTTAGTTACATTCCTTCGAAAGTTACGACTTCATTGCACTTCTTGTTACAAAAAATACACCAGTAGTGATCCTCAGAGAGAATTAAGGTAACAAGAAAATCAACAATTGTTCCTGTTATGCACAAAATGTAGAAAAGGGTGCATCAGTGTATACCGACCTTTGGGTTCTCCACCGCCGTTAGGGCTCAGGTTTGTCCAGAAGATGCTATGATTGATGTGACCTCCGCCATTGAACTTCAGCGCAGGCTGGAGAGCTATCTGGGTTGTAACATCATCTGAATGTTAAAATGCAAACACATTTTTTTTTTTAATGCTTACTTCTTCAGCCATTCGACACACTCGTTTTTTTCTTTGTAAAATGTCAGATAACTAGACCAACTCATCTATAGCATTCCTACTGGTCCTGAAATATCACAAGTTCAGAATTCTACAAAAAAAAGGGCCCTCCCGACATTACTTGTCCCAGCTGGTTTCCAGTTCAATTAATAAAATGCTGACCAACAGTGAGAGGCCCAGCAGGTTGCAAAGGTCACAGAAAATTCACTCATGACCTTCAAGGAGCTCAGGGTTTTCTTGGATAGGAAAGATTTCAGAAAATGAAGTAATTAAGACAACACAGATAGAACATAATGGAATACTAAAATGTATGATTCAATAAATAGACTCTACAGAAATTGTTCAACTCTCATTTTCAACAGTATTTCATTGGGGAATATTTCAACGTTACTTTAACAAGAAGCCCAACATATTCAAAACTGAACTCCTGATCTCCCTCTGCCAAGCTTACTTATCCTGTGGCCTTTCCTCTCAGTGAATGCCACCTCCTCCGTTTCTTAGGACATTTTTCATTCCTTGAGGTCATTTGTGACTTCTCTCCTCTCACACCCCATAGCTAATCCACCAGCAAACCCAGCTCTACCTTCAAAACATGTCCAGAATCCAATCGCATCTTCCCACCTGTGCTGCTACTCCTCTGGCCCACATCACCGGCACCTCCCACCCGCATCACTGCCAACATCTCCTCACTGGTCTCCTGCTTCCACATCTGCCCCCGCATCGTCTGGTCTCGCCCCAGGCACCAGAGGGCTCCTCTAAAAACCTAGGCCAACCATGGCCCTCCTCTCCTCAAACCCCTGCAAGAGCTGCCCTGCTCACTCAGAGCCAACCCCAAGTCCTTACAATCAGCTACAAAGTTGCACATCATGGGACCCTCTGTGACCTCTGTCTGCATCTTCTCATTGTCGTCCTCTCCCTCACCCAAATCCAGCCACGCCGGCCTCCTGGCACTTACATGAAAAACTGAGTTTGCTCCCAGCTTAGGGCTCTGACGGACCACTCCTTCTCTCTAACTCTTCCCTCAGGTAGCCTTGTGGTTCATTCCTTCATTTTTCCTTCGGGTCTCTACTGGAAGGTCACCTGACCTGAGGCCTTCCCTGACCAAGGTACGTGAATGAGCCATTCCCCACCACTCCCTCCCTACTTTGTTTTCTGGAGGACTTATAACCATTTGCACACTACGTGTTTACTTTTTTATCATCTCGCCCTGCCAGAATGTGAGCTCCAATGAGGACAAGGATTTTTGGTCACTGCTGCATCCTCAGGCCTAAAATATTGCCTCGTATATAGCAGGGACTCAGTAGATATTTGTTGACTGACTAGATGATTGAATCTATAAAAATATAATTTCTACGAAATAAACACTAACTCTCTGGTAGCTAGAGTTTAAAAAAAAAGAGAGAGAGATTTCACGTTTGAAATATCTGAATGTATTCCCAAAGTACTTGGGAAAGTAAATGGACACCAAAAAGACTTTCTATCACGCTAAATAAGTAGGCCAAATATAAATTTTTCTCTAAGCCTTCAAGAAGCTACAGATTAGCTGAACTGTTAGGAAAAATGGAAATTCTCTTGTTCGATATGGAGCGCTCGCTCCTCATTCGCAAGATACCGAGAGAGGCAACGTGAAGGACACGGAGAACCACTGACCATAGGTGCTGCCCTCGTGGAGATTACATACTGGAAAACGCTCTCGACTGCTATTCTTAAAGCCCACATTAAAACGTGTGTGAGGAATGCGCTTTCTGAAACAATAAAGCCAAACCTGAATTGTTCAGCAATTCAGAAAGGTAAGGGGAACTGAGTGATGATCTGAGTACACAGATAATCTCTTCAGTGTCTGGGTTTGTTTTGTTGTTGTTGTTTTACACAGACCGACTGGTTTTTTGCTATGTTCATAAATTAATTTTCTTATAAGTCAGTGTTTCTCTATCAATTTTTCTAGGAGAATCATCCTAAAAATAAATGTACATTTTGTATTTTGTAATAAATCAATAGTAACTAAATTTTTCTAATAGGAAAGAAATATGCTTATTGATCATCAGTTTAACAACTTCTACATCTTAAATGAAAAAGTTTATGCAATGGCTTTAAAATTTTAACAGAAATGTTGGGGTCTTAACATCTATTTTTAAGACCACTTTTCTGAAGTTCAACTTTTTCTATGGCTTCACTTCAGTTTCTTTTTTCCTCTTATAAATCTAGTAAAATGAAAGTTAAATAATTTTATTTTAAAGGTATTTGTTAGGTGCTTGCTTCAGTAGCACATACACTAAAACTGGAATGATACAGAGAAGATTAGCATGCCCCCTGTTCAAGGATGACACACAAATTCATGAAGCATTTCACATTTTTGTTGTGGAAGCTCTATGGACAAATCCAAACTCCCTTCGGGACTGAATCACTGGGCTGAGGGCTGTGAGGACCATGGTCTCAGGGAACATCTCGCTCAATTGGCATAACATAGTTTGTAAAGAAAATGTTCTACATTCTACTCTGGTGCATAGTGTCTGAAGTCTTAAAAGCCTGTGAGGGGAGGACTTCCGGCAATATGGCGCTCTAGGCAGAAACACCACGCCGTCCCTCCACAACAAAGATCCAAAAAACTAAGCCAAACAGAGAATCAACAATCCTGAAACCCTAGAACATCAAATGAAGAGATAAAGAACTCAGCCGAACACCAA